TGGGTCAATTGGGCTAAATGGACTAAATGGGCTTGGTTTTGAGATCTAGTGATTTAGACATAGGGAAATTTGGGTGTGGCTCTTGGTAAATGGGAATTCGGGTCTCTTACACTTAGAAGATCTCGGTTGAGTTGATTTCGGGGACAGGACTTCGGCTGATAGACTTCAATACTCTGGGCCAAAGGGATTTCGGCTGTTAGGAACTTCTAGAGTAAGGACATTGGGGCTTAGATCTCCGGGGGGTGTGGGTGCCGAAATTATGATGTTAGGTCAGGAAGAATTTGAGTAAGGGATTTCGGGTGCCCGGTTTTAAAGAAGGATTTCGGGAAAGAGGTTTTCGGGTCTCCGTTAGGTTAATGATTTTGGATGGTAGATATTTCGGTTGCCCGGCTTAGAGATTTCAGGAGAGGAATCATATGGGTAAGGATTTCGGGTGCCCGAGGGATGAATTCGGGTTAAGGATATCTCGGGAAGACAAATTCGGCTGAGGGCCTGGTTTCGAGATTTTAAATTTCGACTTTGAGGTTTCGAAGGGTCACGAAATTTGGAAGTGAAGAATTTGAACCCCTGTATATAGGGAGTTTTTATGGCTATGGAGTGTTAGGTTTGATGTTTGGAAGAATGGTCGCCGGTGTGAATGATGTGGATGACGAGGAGGAGGCTGGCCGGTGGTTTTCCGGTTGTCTCGTCGTCGTTTCAAGGATTACCTTCAAATACACACATATACACACACAAAAACGGAGAAGAAGATTAAACCTTTAAAAAGATTTTGAGAAGATGACTGGTGAAGAAGATGAAAAATCTTGAGTGCTTGTTTGAGAATTTGAAGAATTAGAGAGTAATGAGAAGAGTGAAACTGTTTCAGAGTACAAGTACCCGCAGAAAAATAAAGAGAAAATATTTTTGACCTTTTCCGATTAGGAAACTGACTCTTTTATCCAGACTAGGAAACACTAAATTGATTCAAAGTAAAAGAGTAAAATATTATTGTGACTTTCTGACTGGAAAAAAAAATTGCGGATACTAACAGAAATAAAATACTCCTCCTCAATTGTAGCACTCAAACCAGAGTAATTTTACTCCCCCTAAATGTATGCACACGTTAGGGAAACAAAATCAATGACCAAGAAACTGACTCAATTAAAATTAAAATAATTGACACGACAGATAAAATTAAGAAAATGCTCCCCCTATACTTGTGCGCAGAATTAAAAATCATAATTCAGCATTCTTAGTTTAAAAATCAGAAACTGAAATCTTTTCTCGTCCAGAGCTTTTGTGAACAGAGCAGCCAATTGTAGCTCAGTGCACACAACGTATATGTCCACATGACCTTTCTCAATATGATCTTTGGTGAAGTGAAATCTAAGGTCAATGTGCTTAGTGCGAGAATGATGAACTGGGTTGCATGAGATAGCAATCGCACTTTTTGAGTCACTCTAAATTGGTATGTGGTCAAAATAGAATTCAAATTCGCGTAGTTGAGTACTCATCCATAATACTTGTGAACAACAGCTAGCAGCAACAACATATTCAGCTTCTGTTGTAGATGTAGACACACAACCTTGCTTCTTTGAGGACCAACATACCAGTTTCTCTCCAAGAAATTGAGCACTTCCAGATGTACTCTTTCTATCCATTTTGCATCCTACGAAATCCGCGCCAGTAAATACAATTAAATCAAAACCAGATTCCTTTGGATGCTAGAGTCCTAAATTTGGAGTTCCTTTTAGATACCGAAGAATTCTTTTCACTGCCCGCAGATGGGATTCTTTTGGATTTGCTTGAAATCGAGCACATAAACATGTTGAGAACATAATATCAGATCTGCTAGAGGTCAGATATAGCAAAAATCTAATCATTGTTCTATAAGTTGTAACATTGACTGGCTTTCCCGATGATCAGTATTAAGCTTGCATGCTGGAGTCATCGGGGTTTTCATAGGGGTGTTGTTCTCTAGACCACACTTTTACAACAAATCATGAATGTACTTGGACTGATGAATGAAAGTTCCATCAGACAGTTGTTTCACTTGCAGTCCAAGAAAGAAATTCATTTCACTCACCATGCTCATTTCAAACTTTGATTGCATTAGACTTCCAAATGCAGTGCATAGAGCGGGATCAGTGGAGCCAAAAATGATGTCATCAACGTAGATCTGAACCAGGATGATGTCAGACTCACGACGTTTGATGAAGAGTGTAGTATCAATTGTTCCTTTTGAGAAACCAGAATCAACCAGGAAGTCAGATAATTCCTCATACCAAGCTGTCGGTGCTTGTTTGAGTCCATATAGAGCTTTATTCAGACCATAGACATGGTCGAGATATTTCTCACTGATAAACCCTTCTGGTTGATCAACGTAGACTTCCACTTTCAAGATTCTGTTCAAAAATGAAGTTTTGACGTCCATTTGATAGATGGTAAAGTTCTTGTGTGCAGCGTAAGCCATGAACAATCAAATGGCTTCAATATGTGCAACTGGAGCGAACGTCTCATTGTAGTCTATGCCTTCTTGCTGATTGTACCCTTTAGCAACTAAACGGGCCTTATTGTGAATCACGATTCCTTCTTCATCTCTTTTGTTCTTGAAGATCCACTTAGTGCCTATAATGGATTTCTCATAAGGTCGGCGCACAAGTGACCAAACTTTTAATCTTTCGAATTGATAGATTTCCTCTTGCATGGTTATTATCCAATCAGGATAAGCTAACACTTCAGTAACCTGCGTAGGCTCATATTGACTTAGAAAACATGAAAACATGCATTCATTTTCAGTAGCAGAACGAGTGCAAACATCAGTTGCAGGATTTCCAAGTATGAGATCGGATAGGTGACCACGAGTCCATTTTCTGACGTGAGGGAGTGGTTGAGCATTGTTGTTAGGTTGTTGATCAACATAATGAGTATCGTCTTGCGGAGTAGGTGAAGAGGTGAGATCAGTAGATGGAGGCGATGTAGTATCAGTAACTGTTTCAGTCTCAGTTGTGGTTGCAGAAGTTGATGTTGTCTGAAGGAGTAGATGATGCGGCTGTAGACTCAATATATGGTGGAGGAGATGGGTCATGTGGATGTGGATTATCATAGATTTCGTCAAGTTCCACAGAATTGGAGTCGGGTCAGGGAGATAATGTGGGGAGCTGTGCTAGAACACCAGTGATATCGGGTTCTGAATTGATATGTCTAGAAGTCTATTCTTCCTTTCCGTCAAAGGTCACATTGATACTTTCAATGACCTTCCTTCTGTCTCTGATGTAAACTCTGTAAGCGTTAGAAGTAGATGAGTAGCCAATAAACACGCTTTCAAATGCTTTCGGATAGTGTTTACTTCGATCTTCCCTATCATTAGCAATGAAGCACCTGCATCCAAAAACTCTTAAAAAAGAAACGTTAAGGGTATGGCGGTTGATCAATTCATACGGTGTCTTTCCGAACCTTTTATAAATTGAAGTCATGTTCTGAGATAAGCATACAGTGTTGATAGCTTCAGCCCACAGAAAATGTGAAAGTTTGGAGTGAATAAACATGGTTCTAGCAGCTTCAACAAGAGTTCTGTCCTTTCGTTCAACTACCACATTCTGTTGTGGGGTCTTTATTGCAGAGAATTGCTGAATGATTCCATGTAGCTCATAGAATTCACTGAGCTTCTGATTCTTGACTCAGTGTCGTTATCAGAACAAATGAAGAGAATGGTTGCTTGGAGTAGATTCTGCGTGGTTCGTATGAAGGTGATGATGATGTCAGCTGCCTCATCTTTGATACATAAGAAGGGGATCCATGTGTATCGAGAGTAGTCATGTACTATCACTAGGACATATTTCTTCTCATTGATACTTTTTGTACGCATGAGCCCACAAAGATCCATGTGAAGTAATTCGAGAGGACGTTTAGTAGATGCTGTCATTTTCACCTTATGAGAAGCTCTTTTCATTTTTTCAAGTGCGCAAGAGTCGCAGTGATGATCTTTCTTTGTTTGGAGTGCTGACAGTCCAGTAACAAGCTTCTTTGTTGACAATGTGTGTAGATCCCTGTAATTTAGATGAGACATCCTCTTGTGCCACAATTGATTTAGTTCAGAAGATGCTCTTCACAGCAGACATACATCAGAAGAGGGAGACATACTTGATTTGCGTCTACACCTTAGAATGGTCTTCCCTTGATCATCTTTTAGGCAACACTGATTAGCTCGGAATATGACCTTCATGCCTTTGTCACAGAATTGTTCGATGCTAAACAGGTTGTGAGTTAATCCAGCAACATATGACACATCTTTAATTGTAACCTTCCTCTTACAGATATCTCCATATCCAAGACAGGAGTCGAATCACTATTTCCAAATATGGTTGGACTCGGGTCGGGCCACCCGGCTCGTGGACTGGCCCGGCCCGCTACTGTGCGGGACCAGGTCCGGGTCAGGCCTAGGCCTGGTGGGTAGTGCGGGTCCAGGCTCGGGTCTCACTTTTGGCGAACCGGCCAGGTCGGGTCAGGCCCGGGTCCGGGCCAAATTGATTTTTTTTTTCATTTTTTGGGGTTCCACCCGGGTTGGGGTTGATGGTTAGGAGGGGTTTGGGAGGGTGGGGGCTGAGGGGGGGGGGGGGGTAGGAAAGCAAAAAAAAAATTACCCAAACCGGAGGCCCCGCCCGGCCCGGACCCGAGTCCAACCCTATTTCCAAACCTCACTTTTCCACCGACTTTGTTGATGTAGTTGGTCAACAACTCTTTCTTCTCAATCATGTGTGTGGAGCAACCTGAGTCAAGATACCACACATGACTGACCTGCAATATTAAGCAGCTTTAGGTACCCATTTAAGGATGGGTCCGTTCTGCTTATTTGAAATAATAAAAGCAATTTTATTTAGTCTCTTTTTGGAACCCAGACTTGCTTGATCTTTGAAGCTTGTTTGGTTTTGTTTTGGAACGGTGAGTGAGAAGTTTTGGCATGTGCGAATTCTCTCTTGCTAAACTTTCAAAGGATAATTTAAACAAACACCTTTACAAAAAGAAAAAGTAACACAATCATTATCAACATTCACATTGCTTAAATCACAGTTGGAAAAAGAAGAAATTAAATTATCACCCTTAAAATAATCACCAGAATGAGTCAACAGTTCTAGAGTGAGAATGAGAAAACTTAGGAGAATTGTAAGAAAAATAACTAGAGGAACTAGCAGAAAAATTAGAACGAAAACAGTTTCTTAAACTATTACAAGACTTTTCCACAAAATTAAAGATTTTAGAAATCTTCTTTGGTTGCTCGGGTCTTGTGTCCTTGCTTGCAGCATTTTTCGTAACCCAGGTCATGCTTTTTGCATTGTGATTAGAAAAAGATTTTCCTGTATGGGGAGGTGGAGAAGAAGATAAGTTCCTTTTCTTATTGTTGGGATATATCATCCCGATCTATTACTGTTCAGGGGCCCAAGACTTTACGTAGTACGGAGCCCAATCAGTAAGGCCCATATTAGCCTGTCAGGCCTATTTCGGCCATTGGGCCCATTTCTGCCCATTCGGTCCCGCCTAGGCCCAAGAGGCCGTTTAGGCCCACTCGGCCCGTTAGGGTAGAGAGCCCCCCTTCCCCCTTCCATCTATAAATAGGAGGGTTTCACCTCCTAATAAAGGATCCCGGTTTTGGAGACTTGATCTCCTACCTCTCTTCTTCCTCCTTCTCTATAGTAAGCTTGAATCCTCCATTAATGGAGCTTGTATAATGTATTGGTGAGGAGACCAGTAATAAAAGGAGCGGGCTTGGACATTAGCTTAAACAGTCCTGTGGTTTTCTCCCTTTCCGGGTTTCCACGTAAAAATCATTGTTTATATTTTATTATCCCTCATAACCATGAAACCCTCCCGGAAGGGGTGTTGAACTTCCGGGCTGCGGCGAATTAACCTCAACACTAGCGCCGTCGGTGGGAATCTTGTTCAAAAAGATTTCACGTGTTCTTGGCATTTCTACAAAAAAAATTCATACGAAGTGGACTGATTCCAGCAAAAAGAAGGAAAAACTACTGATTTGAACGGGAGGAAGAGGATTCGGAAAGATCTGGGCTGTCTGGATCTTGCTCCGTTTTGCTGCCGCCGCCGGAGCATCGCCGCCGCCAGAGCATCACCATACCGCCATCGTCCTCGCCGGTCAACTGCTGGCTACTCCCCCACCTGGTCGGTCGCCGTTCGAGCTTCCACGACTCGGCCGACGCAACCAGTGGGATATGCCGGTGGAGCTTCATGATTCCGCCATTAATGGTAGTTTACGAGCTCAGAATTAGTAGGTTCAGTAGTTCGGTCGAGCTTCCGCCGGAGATGAGCTTTTCGGCCACCCTTGCTCTGCTGCGACTGCCATCTCCACCGGCGGGAAGTGGCCGACACGAACAGCCTGCGCTTGGGTTGGTAGGACGGTGCTCCACTTGCCCTTTCTAAAAGATATACTCCGCACAAAATGCTTTGATTTTGGTCTAGAGCAGACCACGTCCTCTGGATAGTGGTGGCAGATGGGAAAGGATGGGAGCATCCTGACCAAGTCAGAATTGGTACAGAGGATGCAATCTGACTCTACAGTCCCTGCCGGCCGAGGCTTTATCTCCAAAAGCTAAGTGCATATACTTCAAGATTTTACATTTAATTGCTAATAGCTTTAAAGTATTATTGCTAGTATTATTTGTTATCACCATTATGTAATAGGGATTAAAATATCCCGAACTAAGTAATGACCAAGCGAAGCTCTAGTGATAAATGTCCATCGTCATTTTAATTAAATGACTGTGTTGGTAGGCTTGTGGGCCCACCCCGGCCAGCTTTAATATACGACCGAAGCGTATTTGAACGACCTTTAGTAGGATAAGTATTATTACTACTGCCCCTCATATCACTATTATTTATTAGGGATTAAAATATCCCAAAGTTAAATAACGCCGAGCGCAACTCCAATGATAGTTTATCCCATCATCATTTCAATGTAGATAATTGTTTTTAGTGGGTCCGTTGGCCCACCCTCGATCGGCTTAATTAGCGATCCGAACGTCTCCAGAGGGATCTGCCCCGATGACGCATTTTAATTAGGGGGTTACACATTAGTCCGCACGGCACCAATGGCCCGAGCAACGATCGTACCCTAGTACCATCTGCGCCACCAGACGCGAAGTGACTGTTGCCAAACGCAACCTATGGGGCCCAAGGGCACCAAAGATGCTCAACCTCATTTTTTCGAGGGCTGAGCAGCAACGTAGGTCTGAGTTTTCAAACTCGCGGACCAGTATTTTTCTATGCGACGTTCGGCAAGCCACTAAGTGGCCCCGCCCCGGACGGCCATAATCCCGCACGATGAACCGGACCGAGGGTCACAATAACCCATAGGCCGGCAATCGCGAGCGTTGGAAAAAGAATAAAGCCACGTAGATGGCCATATGTGTATATATATATTGTCGAGCCGAGCGGCCCATTACCATGTTAGTTATGCAGTCAAGGTTGCTCAATGCGCCCAAGAAGAAAATTAAATGACGTTCGGCATGGGTTCAGAGGACGTTCCAAACCGGCTAAAGAAAGGGGCCGCGAGATGTTCGTACTTCCCAAAGAGGCCGAGGGCCACGAGGAGACCGGTGCGGGCAATAACTGTGAGACGAACATCTCCACACCAGGAGCCAATGGCCCAGAGGAGACCATCACCGCCGAGGGCCGTGAGACCATCCTTACATCACGACCGACCTCACAGAACGGCGTGTTTACACCTTGGAGACCGGTATCATCATTGCGCCGCGCAGACAAGAGCCATTGCATGGAAATACTTGATCGGCCCCTCATGACCGACACACGTATATCCCGAACGGCCTCTCGGCTGAGCATACATCACCATATTCAAAGACCCCTCAAAAAAAAGCAAAAAAAAAATCAGAGGGGCACTGGGGGAATCCCCAAAGGGGATAAACCCGTTTCTCATCACAATCGCGGTCGAGCCCAGCTCAGGATCCAAAGGACCGGGCCAAATGGGCAGGTAAGCGAACGGATGAAGGAGCAAAGATTCCATCCAGCTCAGAAATCGGCCCCCAGTGCCGACATCATTTCATGGCCCCGACCCCCTGGTACGGTGCCATTATCATATTGAAGACCGGCCTCGTCCCCGCTCCTCGCGGATGAGGACCGTTGATTATTTCAGATCGGCTCCCACCGCTGACATCATTTCATGGCCACCGACCCCCTGGTACGGTGCCATCGTCATATTAGAAGACCAGCCTTGTCCCCGCTCCTCGCGGATGAGGACCGTTGATTTATTCTTTCAGATCGGCCCCAGCGCCGACATCATTTCATTGCCACCGACCCCCTGGTACAGTGCCATCATCATATTAGAAGACCGACCTCGTCCCCTCTCCTCGCGAATGAGGACCGTTGATTTATTCTTTCAGATCTGCCCCAGCGCTGACATCATTCATGGCCACCGACCCCCTGGTACGGTGCCATCATCATATTCGAAGGCCGACCTTGTCCCCGCTCCTCGCGGATGAGGACCGTTGATTTATTCTTTCAGATCGGCCCCAGCGCCGACATCATTTCATGGCCACCGACCCCCTGGTACGGTGCCATCATCATATTAGAAGACCGACCTCGTCCTCTCTCCTCGCGGATGAGGACCGTTGATTTATTCTTTCAGATCGGCCCCAGTGCCGACATCATTCATGGCCACCGACCCCCTGGTACGGTGCCATCATCATATTCGAAGGGCGGCCTCGTCCCCTCTCCTCGCGGATGAGGACCGTTGATTTATTCTTTCAGATCGGTCCCATCGCCGACATCATTTCATGGCTCGACCCCCCGGTACGGTGCCATTATCATATTGAAGACTAGCCTCGTCCCCGCTCCTCGCGAATGAGGACCGTTTATTATTTCAGATCGGCTCCCACCGCCGACATCATTTCATGGCCACCGACCCCTTGGTACGGTGCCATCGTCATATTAGAAGACCGGCCTTGTCCCCGCTCCTCGCGGATGAGGACCGTTGATTTATTCTTTCAGATCGGCCCCAACGCTGACATCATTTCATGGCCACCGACCCCCTGGTACGGTGCCATCATCATATTAGAAGACCGACCTTGTCCCCGCTCCTCGTGGATGAGGACCGTTGATTTATTCTTTCAGATCGGCTCCCAGCGCCGAGATCATTCATGGACACCGACCCCCTGGTACGGTGCCATCATCATATTAGAAGACCGGCCTTGTCCCTGCTCCTCGCGGATGAGGACTGTTGATTCATTCTTTCAGATCGGCTCCCAGCACCGACATCATTCATGGCCACCGACCCCCTGGTACGGTGCCATCATTATATTTGAAGACCGGCCTTGTCCCCGCTCCTCGCGGATGAGGACCGTTGATTTATTCTTTCAGATTGGCTCCCAGCGCCGACATCATTCATGGCCACCGATCCCTTAGTACGGTGCCATCGTCATATTCAAAGACCCCTAAAAAAGATATAGATAAGATATGGGCTGTGGAACATCTTCACGCTTAAGGTTGATCCAGAGGACCCGAGGGCCTGGAGACTAGCATTTCCATTCCAGAGGACCCGAGGGCCTGGAGACGAGCACTTCCATTCCAGAGGACCCGAGGGCCTGGAGACGAGCACTTCCATTCCAGAAGACCCGAGGGCCTGATGACGAGCATTTCCATTTCAGAGGACCCGAGGGCCTGAAGACGAGCATTTCCACTCCAGAGGCCGAGGGCCTGGAGACGAGCATCCACACCCTGGAAGACCCAAAGAGAGAGAGAGAATGGGCGGTTACGACAAGCAGATGGGGACCACCGTCTTATGCAATACGATCGGCCCCTCAGCGCCATCGTATCCAGTTCACGGTCGACTCGTCCATTCCTTCCAGGATGGCGACCACCGTTTTATGCAACACGATTGGCCCCTCACCGCCATCGTGTCCAGATCATGTGCGGCCCGTACATCTCTTCCAGGATGGCGACGGACGCCTTACGCAGACCGATCGGCCCTGCAGTGCCGATCGTGTCCGGTTCATGTGCGGCTCGTACATCCCTTCCAGGATGGCGACGGATGTCTTACGCAGCATGATCGGCCCTGCAGTGCCGATCGTGTTCGGATCATGTGCGGCTCGTACATCCCTTTCAGGATGGCGACGGACGTCTTACGCAGCACAATCGGCCCTGCAGTGCCGATTGTGTCCATGTGCGGCTCGTACATCCCTTCCAAGATGGCAACGGACGTCTTACGCAGCACGATCGGTCCTAAAGTGCCGATCGTGTCCATGTGCGGCTCGTACATCCCTTCCAGGATGGCAACGGACATCTTACGCAGCACGATCAGCCCTACAGTGCGGATCGTGTCCATGTGCGGCTCGTACATCCCTTCCAGGATGGCGACGGACGTCTTACGCAGCACGATCGGCCCCTGAGCGCCATCGTGTCTAGTTCACATTCGACGTAAGACCACATCGTGGCAACGACTGTCTTACGCAGCACGATCGGCCCCTGAGCGCCATCGTGTCTAGTTCACATTCGACGTAAGACCACACCGTGGCAACGACTGTCTTATGCAGCACGATCGGCCCCTCAGCGCCATCATGTCTAGTTCACATTCGACGTAAGACCACACTGTGGCAACGACTGTCTTATGCAGCACGATCGGCCCCTCAGCGCCATCGTGTCTAGTTCACATTCGACGTAAGACCACACCGTGGCAACGACTGTCTTATGCAGCACGATCGGCCCCTCAGCGCCATCGTGTCTAGTTCACGGTTGGCTCACCCATTCCTTCCAGGATGGGGTCCACCGTCTTATGCAGCATGATCGGCCCCTCAGCGCCATCGTGTCTAGTTCACGGTCGGCTCGTACATCCCTTCCAGGATGGCGACCACCATCTTATGCAGCACGATCGGCCCCTCAGCGCCATCGTGTCTACTTCACGGTCAGCTCGTACATCCCTTCCAGGATGGCGACCACCATCTTATGCAGCACGATTGGCCCCTCAGCGCCATCGTGTCTAGTTCACGGTCGGCTCGTACATCTCTTCCAGGATGGCGACCACCATCTTATGCAGCACGATCGGCCCCTCAGCGCCATCGTGTCTAGTTCACGGTCGGCTCGTACATCCCTTCCAGGATGGCGACCACCATCTTATGCAGCACGATCGACCCCTCAGCGCCATTGTGTCTAGTTCACGGTCGGCTCGTACATCCCTTCCAGGATGGCGACCACCATCTTATGCAACATGATCGGCCCCTCAGCGCCATCGTGTCTAGTTCACGGTCGGCTCGTACATCCCTTCCAGGATGGCGACCACCATCTTATGCAGCACGATCGGCCCCTCAGCACCATCGTGTCTAGTTCACGGTCGGCTCGTAAGACCACACCATGGCAAAGTAAGACCATACCTTGGCAAAGTAAGACCATGCCGTGGCAACAAACGTCTTATGCAGCACGCTCGGCCCCTCAGTGCCATCGTGCCCGGTTTACCGATGACATTCACTGATTTGTATCACATCTTACATACCCTCTCTCATACATTGCACTCATACATCACATGCATTCATACATTCATGCATCATCTCTCATACATCCATACATACATGTACATCATACCGAGCTAGTCTCCCGTATCGTCAGCTTATATTGTGCAGGAACCTCTAAGCTTCTCCATTGGAAAGCTCGGGTCAGAATCCTCTACTCCCACCTGATACAGTCAGAGGGAGAGTGTCCAGGGAAGAACATCCCTCGCATGACCTCGTCAGGAGGGGAGCGCCTTACCGGCAGGGTATACTCAGAGGGGCAGACACCCACACATATATTATGATTATTCGAAGACACAGTTCCGGCAAGGCAGAGGAAGAGCACAGACAAAAGTATATTTTTTCGAGCAGATTCGCACACTCTCTACTCAAGAAACTGGGGGACTTGTGTTGGGATATATCATCCCGGCCTATTACTGTTCAGGGGCCCAAGACTTTACGTAATACGGAGCCCAATCAGTAAGGCCCATTTTAGCCTGTCACGCCTATTTCGGCCTTTGGGCCCATTTCTGCTCATTCAGCCCGCCTAGGCCCAAGAGGCCGTTTAGGCCCACTCGGCCCGTTAGGGTAGAGAGCCCCCCTTCCCCCTTCCATCTATAAATAGGAGGGCTTCCCTCCTAATAAAGGATCCCAGTTTTGGAGACTTGATCTCCTACCTCTCTTCTTCCTCCTTCTCTATAGTTAGCTTGAATCCTCCATTAATGGAGCTTGTATAATGTATTGGTGAGGAGATCAGTAATAAAAGGAGCGGGCTTGGACATTAGCCTAAACAGTCCCGTGGTTTTCTCCCTTTCCGGGTTTCCACGTAAAAATCATTGTTTATGTTTTATTATCCCCCATAACCATGAAACCCTCCCGGAAGGGGTGTTGAACTTCCGGGCTGCGGCGAATTAATCTCAACACTTATTAAAATAATTTTTCTTTTTGTTCTTTTTAGAAAAGAAATTTCCAAGAGATTTCGTGCCTTGAGAGTAGGGATGGACCCAACCGGTTCGGCCCGGCCCGGAACCGGTCCGGCCCGGCCCGGAACCGGTCCGGCCCATCATTGTGCGGGCCCGAACCGGCCCGGTTGGTGCTAACCGGGCCCGGGCTTTTACCCGGTTGGGGAGGGTTGGGCGGGCCGGACTCAAGCTCTGTATTTGTTTAACCGGCCCAGGCGGTTCGGGCCGAGCCCCGGGCGGTTCAGGCTTGGCCCGGGCGGTTCAGGCCGAGCCCTGTTTTTGTTTTTCTTGGTTAGGGCTGGGTGTTTTGGAGGGGTGAAGGGGGGTGGGGGTGAAGGGGGGAGGGGTCAGGGGTTAATTTGAAGGGATAAATACCGTTATATGACCAAATCTAATCAAGTTTCCGAGAATATGACCAGAGTTGTTTTTCTTCGTGTGTATGACTAAAAATAAATTAAGAATTTTTAACCGATTGTAAATGACTGTTTGAAGGACCAAAATATCCTTATAAATAAATTGCTTCTTCCTCGCGGTATCAGTGAAAGCGGGCGGCAGGAAAGGAGGGAAGTACTCCGTAAATTAGCAACGCGAAATTGCAGCGTGTGACCTATTATGCGTTTAGTCTAAGTATTGGTTTTATTAATGCGCTATGATTTATGATTTTTTAATGTCAACCCATGTACCATTCGTATTATACGTAATCAAGGCTGCATGTTATTCCCTTACAAAGAGAGTTGAATGGCTACATTAAAGTGCATATTTCTAATGCAAGCACTAAAACGTGACTAGTTACGACTAAAATATTGCACTTTCGGTTCATGCAGGTGATACTGCTCTACATTACTGCACTACTTGTCATAATCACTGCACTTTCCGCCAATGTTATGACACAATCTATTGCATCCGATTCGTTGCACAACACACTTCCTCAATGTATTCCTTCATTTCCATGTACAACATTACATATTTTCATATTCACTTCTTATACTCAACCATAGTTATTGCCATGTTCATTGACCATGCTCTTTTTTTTCTTTTTTTTAACCAAAGAGCAATTTTATTGATAAAAGGGAAATAGCACAATGCAAAAAAGGAAAACAAGAAGAGCATTACAGAAAGGAAAAAAAAGAAGGAAACAAAAAAAAGGTAGGAAATAAAAGTAAATATATAAACTAGTCCCATGGGAAGTCGCTGGATTGAGACCTTGTTCTCATGCTATGACGCCTTTTATTCTTCTGGGTTTTTTTGTATATTTTCAACTGCGTGTTCAAATTTTCAGTTGGCAGACAGTTTTCTGCGGTTATGAAATTGGCTTTCCAGCAAATTTCCTTATTGAATTTGGACTTCCTAATTTCTTCTGGGTACGAAATAGGAGGACAACGTTCAATTTCTGTTGCATGCCCCAAGAAGTCATCTGCGAAGATGGAGTCTTCGGAATGATCAAAATCGTCAAACACACATGAGTAAGCCTCGATCGGTGGCAATTGCGGTAGTTTCCCAGAAGAGAAGACATGTTCAATAACAGTACCGACTGCCAGGGTTTGTTGATGTAAAATTAATTTAGAGATGGATGTGGGATCCTCGTATTCTAACATGATCCCTTGTTGGAGAGAGATTGAGTCGTCCTGCAATGGTTTTGAGAGCCCTACAAAATTAGAAAAAACATTAAGGAATTTAAATAAGCTCGAATTATTTGGTCCCATAGGTATCTGAATGGATCCCCTCTTTTGTTTAGCCACTTTCACATAGTAGCCCGCTCTATTATTTTCTAGAGAAATCGTGATATCTCCGAATCACCTTTTTTCCTCAAACTTTGACTAGCCAGGATTCTTAAGCTGATAGATGTACCCGATAATTTGGGGAAGAAGCTCTAGTTTGAATTGAATCTTATGCATAAGAGACCTTTTAATTTCAAAGAGGACCAATTCTCTTTTTTTCCACTTGCAAATTTAAAAGATTTTGATTCAATTTTGACCGATTCAAACCCATATTCTCCAAAGAAAAAGTATTTTTCTCCAACTTGGAATAAATCAGTAGATGCCCCGTTTACTTCCGTCATGACCATTTCGGTACTGGTAGTTTGATTTTTTGATCCAGAGGGACCTGCCTGGTCCGGAGCTTGTATTATTTCTATGTGCCTGGTCAGAGGGCCATCCGTGACCTGTTGTGCGCAGGTTATGCCTTTGTCATTCCTGAATAGATCTACCCATGTGAGGGCATGGGCTGTTCCAGCTGAGGCAGTCCCCACGACACCTCTAATGTCGACGACAGGCATATCTGTGAGGACTGCCTTGAGAGTGACAAGCACTATTATAAACTTAGAATGCACTTATTTCCTGGAAAGATATCTAAACATTCAATTGGACATAATGCATAAGAACATTGAATTTAAGAAGAGATCAGATATTACACTTCCTCTTCTTAAAAAACATATAGACCTTAGAATAAGTCCAATCATTTTTTATGCGTAATGATATATTGAACCTAAACCTGAAAAATCCAACCATTTTCAGAATATATATCAAAGTATAAAAAGTTCAGCCATTTGTGCTTTTATGCATAATGATATGTATTGATTAATTGAAACCAAAGATGAAAAATCCATTTCCAGAATATCAACCTTCTTTTCAGATTTTCATATTCTCACAGCCTTTCAGATTCATAAGTAAACCACTAAAATTAGGATAAAAGAGCTATGTATTTAGATACCTTTAATAATATTTTGATAATAAAAATACATCATAAACTTAACTCAATGGTTTCATGTGCTAAAGCAGCAATGAAGAATAATCCCATTAATTTGTCATTCATTTCCATCAATGGCTGAATGGAATGAAAACAATCTCTCTGGATGAAACAATCTCTGGAATTGAAATCAAGTAAAAATAAAGATATTGGAGATGGATTGGTTTTATTCAATGAATGAGAAACTACAATGCTTCAAGAGTACACTTCCTTGAAAACAGAAACTACATGTTACCAAACCGATCTCCAGTAAAACCTACAGACCACTTAAATTATAGAATAAACTGGACAGAGCCGAGCGACAGGCTAACCTGATCTCATGGAAGTACGAAGGATGCGACTTAGCACCTGGCAGAACCGACCGGGAAACACTCGATGTGTCAGTTGGTATAGATAGATCGATCGATTTCCCTTTGCATACGGTGTTTATGTTGAAGAGAAGCGACACCTTCGGTAATACGTAGTATCATGAAGACTTGATCAGGCAGGATCCTACATTTTTTGGGCCCAGGGCAATATAAACAAAGTAGGCTTCGGGGATATCATGTAAATATTTACTACGTATATGAATTTTTTGTTATAAAATATATAGTAAAGTTAAATAATTTTGTCATCCAAATACGAGTATAACATCAAATAAATCAATTCGCCTACTTTGTTTAAATAAATAACGATCCTCCTGAAGCCTCGACTTCATATCAACCACATGAGGATGAAAATCCGATATTTTATCAACCTTATGTGGATGAAGGTTTAGCTGAAAGATTTGAAGATGTTTTAAAAGCAGCCGATCAACCCCTGTATGCTGATTGTGAGGGATACTCTCAGCTATCCGCCGTTACAGAGTTTATGAACATAAAAGCTGAATACAGTCTCCCTGAAACTTGCATGACTAGAGTCTTGCAGCCAGTAGGCGGGATGCTACCATGTGATCATAACCTCCCCGATTCATATTACCACATGAAACAATTAATGTCTAAGTTGGGGTTACCTTATATAGAAATTGATGCGTTCCCGGAAGGATGTATGTTGTTCTGGAAGGATGATGAGGCACTTGAATTCTGCAAGTTCTGTGGTGGAAACAGATACAAACCTGTTCCTCAAAGTAAAAAGAAACCACGAAATAGGTCGGCATTATCTAAACTGTATTACCTCCCAATAGCTCCACTACATCAGAGGATGTGCACTTCGACTGCTACTGCGAAACACATGACATGGCATGTTGAGCACAAAACAAAATAGGGTATTACATCTAAACTGTATTACCTCCCAATAGCTCCACCCATCGTGTCTAGTTCACGGTCGGCTCGTACATCCCTTCCAGGATGGCGATCACCATCTTATGCAGCACGATCGGCCCCTCAGCGCCATCGTGTCTACTTCACGGTCAGCTCGTACATCCCTTCCAGGATGGCGACCACCATCTTATGCAGCACGATTGGCCCCTCAGCGCCATCGTGTCTAGTTCACGGTCGGCTCGTACATCTCTTCCAGGATGGCGACCACCATCTTATGCAGCACGATCGGCCCCTCAGCGCCATCGTGTCTAGTTCACGGTCGGCTCGTACATCCCTTCCAGGATGGCGACCACCATCTTATGCAGCACGATCGGCCCCTCAGCGCCATTGTGTCTAGTTCACGGTCGGCTCGTACATCCCTTCCAGGATGGCGACCACCATCTTATGCAACATGATCGGCCCCTCAGCGCCATCGTGTCTAGTTCACGGTCGGCTCGTACATCCCTTCCAGGATGGCGACCACCATCTTATGCAGCACGATCGGCCCCTCAGCACCATCGTGTCTAGTTCACGGTCGGCTCGTAAGACCACACCATGGCAAAGTAAGACCATACCTTGGCAAAGTAAGACCATGTCGTGGCAACAAACGTCTTATGCAGCACGCTCGGCCCCTCAGTGCCATCGTGCCCGGTTTACCGATGACATTCACTGATTTGTATCACATCTTACATACCCTCTCTCATACATTGCACTCATACATCACATGCATTCATACATTCATGCATCATCTCTCATACATCCATACATACATGTACATCATATCGAGCTAGTCTCCCGTATCGTCAGCTTATATTGTGCAGGAACCTCTAAGCTTCTCCATTGGAAAGCTCGGGTCAGAATCCTCTACTCCCACCTGATACAATCAGAGGGAGAGTGTCCAGGGAAGAACATCCCTCGCATGACCTCGTCAGGAGGGGAGCGCCTTACCGGCAGGGTATACTCAGAGGGGCAGACACCCACACATATATTATGATTATTCGAAGACACAGTTCCGGCAAGGCAGAGGAAGAACACAGACAAAAGTATATTTTCTCGAGCAGATTCGCACACTCACTACTCAAGAAACTGGGGGACTTGTGTTGGGATATATCATCCCGGCCTATTACTGTTCAGGGGCCCAAGACTTTACGTAATACGGAGCCCAATCAGTAAGGCCCATTTTAGCCTGTCACGCCTATTTCGGCCTTTGGGCCCATTTTTGCTCATTCGGCCCGCCTAGGCCCAAGAGGCCGTTTAGGCCCACTCGGCCCGTTAGGGTAGAGAGCCCCCCTTCCCCATTCCATCTATAAATAGGAGGGCTTCCCTCCTAATAAAGGATCCCAGTTTTGGAGACTTGATCTCCTACCTCTCTTCTTCCTCCTTCTCTATAGTTAGCTTGAATCCTCCATTAATGGAGCTTGTATAATGTACTGGTGAGGAGATCAATAATAAAAGGAGCGGGCTTGGACATTAGCCTAAACAGTCCCGTGGTTTTCTCCCTTTCTGGGTTTCCACGTAAAAATCATTGTTTATGTTTTATTATCCCCCATAACCATGAAACCCTCCCGGAAGGGGTGTTGAACTTCCGGGCTGCGGCGAATTAATCTCAACACTTATTAAAATAATTTTTCTTTTTGTTCTTTTTAGAAAAGAAATTTCCAAGAGATTTCGTGCCTTGAGAGTAGGGATGGACCCAACCGGTTCGGTCCGGCCCAGAACCGGTCCGGCCCATCATTGTGCGGGCAAGGACCGGCCCAGTTGGTGCTAACCGGGCCCGGGCTTTTACCCGGTTGGGGAGGGTTGGGCGGGCCGGGCTCAAGCCCTGTATTTGTTTAACCGGCCCAGGCGGTTCGGGCCGAGCCCCGGGCGGTTCAGGCTTGGCCCGGGCGGTTCAGGCCGAGCCCTGTTTTTGTTTTTCTTGGTTAGGGCTGGGTGTTTTGGGGGGGTGAAGGGGGGTGGGGGTGAAGGGGGGAGGGGTCAGGGGTTAATTTGAAGGGATAAATACCGTTATATGACCAAATCTAATCAAGTTTCCGAGAATATGACCAGAGTTGTTTTTCTTCGTGTGTATGACTAAAAATAAATTAAGAATTTTTAACCGATTGTAAATGACTGTTTGAAGGACCAAAATATCCTTATAAATAAACTGCTTCTTCCTCGCGGTATCAGTGAAAGCGGGCGGCAGGAAAGGAGGGAAGTACTCCGTAAATTAGCAACGCGAAATTGCAGCGTGTGACCTATTATGCGTTTAGTCTAAGTATTGGTTTTATTAATGCGCTATGATTTATGATTTTTTAATGTCAACCCATGTACCATTCGTATCATACGTAATCAAGGCTGCATGTTATTCCCTTACAAAGAGAGTTGAATGGCTACATTAAAGTGCATATTTCTAATGCAAGCACTAAAACGTGACTAGTTACGACTAAAATATTGCACTTTCGGTTCATGCAGGTGATACTGCTCTACATTACTGCACTACTTGTCATAATCACTGCACTTTCCGCCAATGTTATGACACAATCTATTGCATCCGATTCGTTGCACAACACACTTCCTCAATGTATTCCTTCATTTCCATGTACAACATTACATATTTTCATATTCACTTCTTATACTCAACCATAGTTATTGCCATGTTCATTGACCATGCTCTTTTTTTTCTTTTTTTAACCAAAGAGCAATTTTATTGATAAAAGGGAAATAGTACAATGCAAAAAAGGAAAACAAGAAGAGCATTACAGAAAGGAAAAAAAAGAAGGAAACAAAAAAAAAGGTAGGAAATAAAAGTAAATATATAAACTAGTCCCATGGGAAGTCGCTGGATTGAGACTTTGTTCTCATGCTATGACGCCTTTTATTCTTCTGGGTTTTTTTGTATATTTTCAACTGCGTGTTCAAATTTTCAGTTGGCAGACAGTTTTCTGCGGTTATGAAATTGGCTTTCCAGCAAATTTCCTTATTGAATTTGGACTTCCTAATTTCTTCTGGGTACGAAATAGGAGGACAACGTTCAATTTCTGTTGCATGCCCCAAGAAGTCATCTGCGAAGATGGAGTCTTCGGAATGATCAAAATCGTCAAACACACATGAGTAAGCCTCGATCGGTGGCAATTGCGGTAGTTTCCCAGAAGAGAAGACATGTTCAATAACAGTACCGACTGCCAGGGTTTGTTGATGTAAAATTAATTTAGAGATGGATGTGGGATCCTCGTATTCTAACATGATCCCTTGTTGGAGAGAGATTGAGTCGTCCTGCAATGGTTTTGAGAGCCCTACAAAATTAGAAAAAACATTAAGGAATTTAAATAAGCTCGAATTATTTGGTCCCATAGGTATCTGAATGGATCCCCTCTTTTGTTTAGCCACTTTCACATAGTAGCCCGCTCTATTATTTTCTAGAGAAATCGTGATATCTCCGAATCGCCTTTTTTCCTCAAACTTTGACTAGCCAGGATTCTTAAGCTGATAGATGTACCCGATAATTTGGGGAAGAAGCTCTAGTTTGAATTGAATCTTATGCATAAGAGACCTTTTAATTTCAAAGAGGACCAATTCTCTTTTTTTCCACTTGCAAATTTAAAAGATTTTGATTCAATTTTGACCGAGTCAAACCCATATTCTCCAAAGAAAAAGTATTTTTCTCCAACTTGGAATAAATCAGTAGATGCCCGTTTACTTCCGTCATGACCATTTCGGTACTGGTAGTTTGATTTTTTGATCCAGAGGGACCTGCCTGGTCCGGAGCTTGTATTATTTCTATGTGCCTGGTCAGAGGGCCATCCGTGACCTGTTGTGCGCAGGTTATGCCTTTGTCGTTCCTGAATAGATCTACCCATGTGAGGGCATGGGCTGTTCCAGCTGAGGCAGTCCCCACGACACCTCTAATGTCGACGACAGGCATATCTGTGAGGACTGCCTTGAGAGTGACAGGCACTATTATAAACTTAGAATGCACTTATTTCCTGGAAAGATATCTAAACATTCAATTGGACATAATGCATAAGAACATTGAATTTAAGAAGAGATCAGATATTACACTTCCTCTACTTAAAAAACATATAGACCTTAGAATAAGTCCAATCATTTTTTATGCGTAATGATATATTGAACCTAAACCTGAAAAATCCAACCATTTTCAGAATATATATCAAAGTATAAAAAGTCCAGCCATTTGTGCTTTTATGCATAATGATATGTATTGATTAATTGAAACCAAAGATGAAAAATCCATTTCCAGAATATCAACCTTCTTTTCAGATTTTCATATTCTCACAGCCTTTCAGATTCATAAGTAAACCACTAAAATTAGGATAAAAGAGCTATGTATTTAGATACCTTTAATAATATTTTGATAATAAAAATACATCATAAACTTAACTCAATGGTTTCATGTGCTAAAGCAGCAATGAAGAATAATCCCATTAATTTGTCATTCATTTCCATCAATGGCTGAATGGAATGAAAACAATCTCTCTGGATGAAACAATCTCTGGAATTGAAATCAAGTAAAAATAAAGATATTGGAGATGGATTGGTTTTATTCAATGAATGAGAAACTACAATGCTTCAAGAGTACACTTCCTTGAAAACAGAAACTACATGTTACCAAACCGATCTCCAGTAAAACCTACAGACCACTTAAATTATAGAATAAACTGGACAGAGCCGAGCGACAGGCTAACCTGATCTCATGGAAGTACGAAGGATGCGACTTAGCACCTGGCAGAACCGACCGGGAAACACTCGATGTGTCAGTTGGTATAGATAGATCGATCGATTTCCCTTTGCATACGGTGTTTATGTTGAAGAGAAGCGACACCTTCGGTAATACGTAGTATCATGAAGACTTGATCAGGCAGGATCCTACATTTTTTGGGCCCAGGGCAATATAAACAAAGTAGGCTTCGGGGATATCATGTAAATATTTACTACGTATATGAATTTTTTGTTATAAAATATATAGTAAAGTTAAATAATTTTGTCATCCAAATACGAGTATAACATCAAATAAATCAATAAAGCAGTTACTTAAAAAAACTTTATTGAATCATTTTACATGTGACATTTGAGGATACGATGTACCTAAACCGACAGAATGAAACTAGTACAAATATATGTTGCAATAAAGAATTTTGAATTAGGTAAAGACGTGAAAGATATATTGTGCATATACGAAGTAACTTTTTTATATTTTAAAATAAATTGCAAGTTTCTAAATCCTGAATACTATAGTTCAATCTTTCACTTAAATAATAGAATTAGAGAAAATTAGTGAAATACTATCAACGAATCATGAGTATAAATGAGACAAGTAGACCAAAAGAACATTTATGCGCTAAACCATAATGAATCAAAAGAAATGGTGAAGTACATTCTCAATGAATTCTAATGTGGACGTTTTAAAAATGAATTGAAAATATAAAAGTTATAACTTTGATTTTATTTTTATTTTTTATAGATATTTATGTATATATAATTAATATTAATATATATCCATATACACATAATTATGAAATTTATGGGCCCTAGTGGAGCAATGGGCCCTGGGCGTATGCCCCTTTGCCCATGCCCCAGGACCGGCTCTGACTTGATACACGACGGCCGATGAAAATAAGCGGAGGATTGAGGTGTGAGAGAAATATATTAGAAGAAGGAAATGGTAACGGAGGAAGACGGTGAAGAAGAAAAGGTGAAGATGGATTTGAGCGGAGAAGCCAGGTGCGAGTGGGCGGCGGTGCGATAGACAGGAGTGCGGGGCAATTTTCTAAGAGAGAAAGAAAAGGCTTTTTGGCAAGAAGAAGCCTTACGTAGATGTAAAATTACCATTAGGGCACAACTATAGGTCAGAGAATCTTACCCTTTAATTTCTTGGTAGAGCTTTGTTCTCCTCCATCATATTCACGCTTTCTTCATTTGGGTGCCTTTTCAATTCAATCTTGTCATTCCATTTTATGGTGACCATCACCATGATAGCAACACCCCTCGGTAAGTTCGGAACAACACTTTTCAGATACTTCTTCGTATGTGGCATTCTTCCTATAAACATTTTTGTAAAATTAAGATTAAGCCCATTGAGATATAACATAAAAAACTTCCCTCCAATTACTTTTTCAGAGTAAGTAAATACTTTCTTGTGTTTGGGTGAATGCTCTAAACATTCTCGTGGAACCAAATCAACAAAGAACAAATCTTTATATTCTCTTTACCATATACAGAGTATTAGAAGAAAAATAACACAAAAATAGAAATCCAAATTTGGTGAATAAATCCTTCCTATCTACTTAATAATTATATGCTAATTAGGGTTGTTAATAGAACACTAACAACCCTTATCTTTAATAATTATAGGCAGACACATACTTAAAATTGTGAAGTCACCTATTACTCAAAATGGCGAGGCCACATGGCTAATATGACTCCATAAGGGATTCATATATGACTCCACCTTATTTTGCTACAAACAACTTCCCAAATATTATCCCTAACAGCAAAAAACTATAGTTAGCATCTCTTGAAAAAAACACTCTCCTATTTCGAGATAACAACACTCTCTTTATCACACTTATTGAGATGCTGAGTGAATATATTGATGGTACTGGATTGAAGGGAAAAACTGAATTGACTGAATCAATACGTATAAACTAGTGAGAAATTAGATTTATTGACGGGCAGAGTTGCAGTTAGCCTAACATAATAAATTAGTGAGTCCAAACAATTAAAGCACAAATACATTCGAAAACCAGACAAATGTGATGCCAATGTGAGTGGATAAAATATGGAAAATGAAAATTATCATTGTTCACCTGGATTGTTAAGCGTATTTTCAGGTATCTTCAAGGATCTCCAGACCACGGCATGCTGCTTCGGTCGAGTTCTAATTTCTAAATCTCCTACCTTGCAGGCCTATTCAGATGCTGATTGTGCCGGATGTCCTAATAGTAGCCGCTCCATGTCTAGTTTTGCTATATCTTTGGATCCTGATTGGATTTCTTGGAAGTCCAATAAGCAACCCTAATTTTACATCTACGTAAGGCTTCTTCTTGCCAAAAAGCCTTTTCTTTCTCTCTTAGAAAATTGCCCCGCACTCCTGTCTATCGCACCGCCGCCCACTCGCACCTGGCTTCTCCGCTCAAATCCATCTTCACCTTTTCTTCTTCACCGTCTTCCTCCGTTACCATTTCCTTCTTCTAATACATTTCTCTCACACCTCAATCCTCCGCTTATTTTCATCGGCCGTCGTGTATCAAGTCAGAGCCGGTCCTGGGGCATGGGCAAAGGGGCATACGCCCAGGGCCCATTGCTCCACTAGGGCCCATAAATTTCATAATTATGTGTATATGGATATATATTAATATTAATTATATATACATAAATATCTATAAAAAATAAAAATAAAATCAAAGTTATAACTTTTATATTTTCAATTCATTTTTAAAACGTCCACATTAGAATTCATTGAGAATGTACTTCACCATTTCTTTTGATTCATTATGGTTTAGCGCATAAATGTTCTTTTGGTCTACTTGTCTCATTTATACTCATGATTCGTTGATAGTATTTCACTAATTTTCTCTAATTCTATTATTTAAGTGAAAGATTGAACTATAGTATTCAGGATTTAGAAACTTGCAATTTATTTTAAAATATAAAAAAGTTACTTCGTATATGCACAATATATCTTTCACGTCTTTACCTAATTCAAAATTCTTTATTGCAACATATATTTGTACTAGTTTCATTCTGTCGGTTTAGGTACATCGTATCCTCAAATGTCACATGTAAAATGATTCAATAAAGTTTTTTTAAGTAACTGCTTTATTGATTTATTTGATGTTATACTCGTATTTGGATGACAAAATTATTTAACTTTACTATATATTTTATAACAAAAAATTCATATACGTAGTAAATATTTACATGATATCCCCGAAGCCTACTTTGTTTATATTGCCCTGGGCCCAAAAAATGTAGGATCCTGCCTGATCAAGTCTTCATGATACTACGTATTACCGAAGGTGTCGCTTCTCTTCAACATAAACACCGTATGCAAAGGGAAATCGATCGATCTATCTATACCAACTGACACATCGAGTGTTTCCCGGTCGGTTCTGCCAGGTGCTAAGTCGCATCCTTCGTACTTCCATGAGATCAGGTTAGCCTGTCGCTCGGCTCTGTCCAGTTTATTCTATAATTTAAGTGGTCTGTAGGTTTTACTGGAGATCGGTTTGGTAACATGTAGTTTCTGTTTTCAAGGAAGTGTACTCTTGAAGCATTGTAGTTTCTCATTCATTGAATAAAACCAATCCATCTCCAATATCTTTATTTTTACTTGATTTCAATTCCAGAGATTGTTTCATCCAGAGAGATTGTTTTCATTCCATTCAGCCATTGATGGAAATGAATGACAAATTAATGGGATTATTCTTCATTGCTGCTTTAGCACATGAAACCATTGAGTTAAGTTTATGATGTATTTTTATTATCAAAATATTATTAAAGGTATCTAAATACATAGCTCTTTTATCCTAATTTTAGTGGTTTACTTATGAATCTGAAAGGCTGTGAGAATATGAAAATCTGAAAAGAAGGTTGATATTCTGGAAATGGATTTTTCATCTTTGGTTTCAATTAATCAATACATATCATTATGCATAAAAGCACAAATGGCTGAACTTTTTATACTTTGATATATATTCTGAAAATGGTTGGATTTTTCAGGTTTAGGTTCAATATATCATTACGCATAAAAAATGATTGGACTTATTCTAAGGTCTATATGTTTTTTAAGAAGAGGAAGTGTAATATCTGATCTCTTCTTAAATTCAATGTTCTTATGCATTATGTCCAATTGAATGTTTAGATATCTTTCCAGGAAATAAGTGCATTCTAAGTTTATAATAGTGCTTGTCACTCTCAAGGCAGTCCTCACAGATATGCCTGTCGTCGACATTAGAGGTGTCGTGGGGACTGCCTCAGCTGGAACAGCCCATGCCCTCACATGGGTAGATCTATTCAGGAATGACAAAGGCATAACCTGCGCACAACAGGTCACGGATGGCCCTCTGACCAGGCACATAGAAATAATACAAGCTCCGGACCAGGCAGGTCCCTCTGGATCAAAAAATCAAACTACCAGTACCGAAATGGTCATGACGGAAGTAAACGGGGCATCTACTGATTTATTCCAAGTTGGAGAAAAATACTTTTTCTTTGGAGAATATGGGTTTGAATCGGTCAAAATTGAATCAAAATCTTTTAAATTTGCAAGTGGAAAAAAAGAGAATTGGTCCTCTTTGAAATTAAAAGGTCTCTTATGCATAAGATTCAATTCAAACTAGAGCTTCTTCCCCAAATTATCGGGTACATCTATCAGCTTAAGAATCCTGGCTAGTCAAAGTTTGAGGAAAAAAGGCGATTCGGAGATATCACGATTTCTCTAGAAAATAATAGAGCGGGCTACTATGTGAAAGTGGCTAAACAAAAGAGGGGATCCATTCAGATACCTATGGGACCAAATAATTCGAGCTTATTTAAATTCCTTAATGTTTTTTCTAATTTTGTAGGGCTCTCAAAACCATTGCAGGACGACTCAATCTCTCTCCAACAAGGGATCATGTTAGAATACGAGGATCCCACATCCATCTCTAAATTAATTTTACATCAACAAACCCTGGCAGTCGGTACTGTTATTGAACATGTCTTCTCTTCTGGGAAACTACCGCAATTGCCACCGATCGAGGCTTACTCATGTGTGTTTGACGATTTTGATCATTCCGAAGACTCCATCTTCGCAGATGACTTCTTGGGGCATGCAACAGAAATTGAACGTTGTCCTCCTATTTCGTACCCAGAAGAAATTAGGAAGTCCAAATTCAATAAGGAAATTTGCTGGAAAGCCAATTTCATAACCGCAGAAAACTGTCTGCCAACTGAAAATTTGAACACGCAGTTGAAAATATACAAAAAAACCCAGAAGAATAAAAGGCGTCATAGCATGAGAACAAAGTCTCAATCCAGCGACTTCCCATGGGACTAGTTTATATATTTACTTTTATTTCCTACCTTTTTTTTTGTTTCCTTCTTTTTTTTCCTTTCTGTAATGCTCTTCTTGTTTTCCTTTTTTGCATTGTACTATTTCCCTTTTATCAATAAAATTGCTCTTTGGTTAAAAAAAGAAAAAAAAGAGCATGGTCAATGAACATGGCAATAACTATGGTTGAGTATAAGAAGTGAATATGAAAATATGTAATGTTGTACATGGAAATGAAGGAATACATTGAGGAAGTGTGTTGTGCAACGAATCGGATGCAATAGATTGTGTCATAACATTGGCGGAAAGTGCAGTGATTATGACAAGTAGTGCAGTAATGTAGAGCAGTATCACCTGCATGAACCGAAAGTGCAATATTTTAGTCGTAACTAGTCACGTTTTAGTGCTTGCATTAGAAATATGCACTTTAATGTAGCCATTCAACTCTCTTTGTAAGGGAATAACATGCAGCCTTGATTACGTATGATACGAATGGTACATGGGTTGACATTAAAAAATCATAAATCATAGCGCATTAATAAAACCAATACTTAGACTAAACGCATAATAGGTCACACGCTGCAATTTCGCGTTGCTAATTTACGGAGTACTTCCCTCCTTTCCTGCCGCCCGCTTTCACTGATACCGCGAGGAAGAAGCAGTTTATTTATAAGGATATTTTGGTCCTTCAAACAGTCATTTACAATCGGTTAAAAATTCTTAATTTATTTTTAGTCATACACACGAAGAAAAACAACTCTGGTCATATTCTCGGAAACTTGATTAGATTTGGTCATATAACGGTATTTATCCCTTCAAATTAACCCCTGACCCCTCCCCCCTTCACCCCCACCCCCCTTCACCCCCCCAAAACACCCAGCCCTAACCAAGAAAAACAAAAACAGGGCTCGGCCTGAACCGCCCGGGCCAAGCCTGAACCGCCCGGGGCTCGGCCCGAACCGCCTGGGCCGGTTAAACAAATACAGGGCTTGAGCCCGGCCCGCCCAACCCTCCCCAACCGGGTAAAAGCCCGGGCCCGGTTAGCACCAACTGGGCCGGTCCTTGCCCGCACAATGATGGGCCGGACCGGTTCTGGGCCGGACCGAACCGGTTGGGTCCATCCCTACTCTCAAGGCACGAAATCTCTTGGAAATTTCTTTTCTAAAAAGAACAAAAAGAAAAATTATTTTAATAAGTGTTGAGATTAATTCGCCGCAGCCCGGAAGTTCAACACCCCTTCCGGGAGGGTTTCATGGTTATGGGGGATAATAAAACATAAACAATGATTTTTACGTGGAAACCCAGAAAGGGAGAAAACCACGGGACTGTTTAGGCTAATGTCCAAGCCCGCTCCTTTTATTATTGATCTCCTCACCAGTACATTATACAAGCTCCATTAATGGAGGATTCAAGCTAACTATAGAGAAGGAGGAAGAAGAGAGGTAGGAGATCAAGTCTCCAAAACTGGGATCCTTTATTAGGAGGGAAGCCCTCCTATTTATAGATGGAATGGGGAAGGGGGGCTCTCTACCCTAACGGGCCGAGTGGGCCTAAACGGCCTCTTGGGCCTAGGCGGGCCGAATGAGCAAAAATGGGCCCAAAGGCCGAAATAGGCGTGACAGGCTAAAATGGGCCTTACTGATTGGGCTCCGTATTACGTAAAGTCTTGGGCCCCTGAACAGTAATAGGCCGGGATGATATATCCCAACACAAGTCCCCCAGTTTCTTGAGTAGTGAGTGTGCGAATCTGCTCGAGAAAATATACTTTTGTCTGTGTTCTTCCTCTGCCTTGCCGGAACTGTGTCTTCGAATAATCATAATATATGTGTGGGTGTCTGCCCCTCTGAGTATACCCTGCCGGTAAGGCGCTCCCCTCCTGACGAGGTCATGCGAGGGATGTTCTTCCCTGGACACTCTCCCTCTGATTGTATCAGGTGGGAGTAGAGGATTCTGACCCGAGCTTTCCAATGGAGAAGCTTAGAGGTTCCTGCACAATATAAGCTGACGATACGGGAGACTAGCTCGATATGATGTACATGTATGTATGGATGTATGAGAGATGATGCATGAATGTATGAATGCATGTGATGTATGAGTGCAATGTATGAGAGAGGGTATGTAAGATGTGATACAAATCAGTGAATGTCATCGGTAAACCGGGCACGATGGCACTGAGGGGCCGAGCGTGCTGCATAAGACGTTTGTTGCCACGACATGGTCTTACTTTGCCAAGGTATGGTCTTACTTTGCCATGGTGTGGTCTTACGAGCCGACCGTGAACTAGACACGATGGTGCTGAGGGGCCGATCGTGCTGCATAAGATGGTGGTCGCCATCCTGGAAGGGATGTACGAGCCGACCGTGAACTAGACACGATGGCGCTGAGGGGCCGATCATGTTGCATAAGATGGTGGTCGCCATCCTGGAAGGGATGTACGAGCCGACCGTGAACTAGACACAATGGCGCTGAGGGGCCGATCGTGCTGCATAAGATGGTGGTCGCCATCCTGGAAGGGATGTACGAGCCGACCGTGAACTAGACACGATGGCGCTGAGGGGCCGATCGTGCTGCATAAGATGGTGGTCGCCATCCTGGAAGAGATGTACGAGCCGACCGTGAACTAGACACGATGGCGCTGAGGGGCCAATCGTGCTGCATAAGATGGTGGTCGCCATCCTGGAAGGGATGTACGAGCTGACCGTGAAGTAGACACGATGGCGCTGAGGGGCCGATCGTGCTGCATAAGATGGTGATCGCCATCCTGGAAGGGATGTACGAGCCGACCGTGAACTAGACACGATGGGTGGAGCTATTGGGAGGTAATACAGTTTAGATGTAATACCCTATTTTGTTTTGTGCTCAACATGCCATGTCATGTGTTTCGCAGTAGCAGTCGAAGTGCACATCCTCTGATGTAGTGGAGCTATTGGGAGGTAATACAGTTTAGATAATGCCGACCTATTTCGTGGTTTCTTTTTACTTTGAGGAACAGGTTTGTATCTGTTTCCACCACAGAACTTGCAGAATTCAAGTGCCTCATCATCCTTCCAGAACAACATACATCCTTCCGGGAACGCATCAATTTCTATATAAGGTAACCCCAACTTAGACATTAATTGTTTCATGTGGTAATATGAATCGGGGAGGTTATGATCACATGGTAGCATCCCGCCTACTGGCTGCAAGACTCTAGTCATGCAAGTTTCAGGGAGACTGTATTCAGCTTTTATGTTCATAAACTCTGTAACGGCGGATAGCTGAGAGTATCCCTCACAATCAGCATACAGGGGTTGATCGGCTGCTTTTAAAACATCTTCAAATCTTTCAGCTAAACCTTCATCCACATAAGGTTGATAAAATATCGGATTTTCATCCTCATGTGGTTGATATGAAGTCGAGGCTTCAGGAGGATCGTTAGATGGTTGTGGGGGGTTGAACTGAGACATCGACGCACCGTATGCGTCATATACCATACGTTGCTCCCATCTCATTTCAGCAGGGTCTCCCCACGCACTCATCTCTGCAGGGACGTTACGAGACGAACCTACGGTTTGTGGTAAAACAGATGGATCCAAAGGTTCGCCATGAGAAGTCCAATTATAATAATTGGGAACGAAACCGTCCGCGTACAAATCCCACCCAACTTCGTCTGGGTGTTTAAATTTGAGATTTTTACACTTTGAACATGGACATCTGATTTTATCACCACTAATATAAGCCGGGTGTTCAAGTGCGAATTTAATAAACTCCTCAACTCCTTCAAGAAAATTTGATAGCATTCCGTGCGATACCGCATGTTTATCATACATCCAAATTCTATTTTGTCTATACATTATGCCTGAATATTATAATAAAAAAATTATACAGGTTAAAAACTCTAAATTATAAACATTACCAGCATATGTGGAGTATTATTAATATATTAAATTTCACTAATTAAAGTTCAATGCAATTAATTCACTAGATGAACTAATATGTTCATATTATGATTTCAATGCAATCATTTCAATTATTAACTAAAAACCAATATTATGATTTCAACACTAAATACATTAAATTATTACGTTAATGGCATTAATTAATTCATAAACATTAACAATAATTTTTTATATGTACGAACATTTATATATTTAATTTCACTAAAATTCCCATAAAATTAACTTGCGTCCAATAATTAATATTATTAAACTATAAACATGCACAATACGTTAATGGCATTTAATCCAGAATACTAAAATTAACAACATCTTAATCTTCTTAATAATGCACATTTAACAATTCACTAAATTAAATAATATGAGCACATCCAATAATTTGAGCATATATATATATATATATATATATATATATATATATATATATACATATAATAAACTCATTTAAATTAAATAATACTTCAATTTAACTAATATTATAATTTTTTTACTAATATACGTAATTCACAATCATAAATCATCATACTTAAGTAATGTTTCAATTAACTAACCCTAATTTAAATCATTATAAATTCTAAATTAGGCCTTAACAATAATTGCTCATAAAGAAATCATTTAATTATATTTAACCATATATAAACTCATTTGAATTAAATAATACTTACATTTAACTAATATCATCTATAATTTAACTAATTTACGTAATTTTAATTAAATACGACTTAATTAACCCTATGTTTAAATTACACCTACGTTTAACTAAATTTAAGGAATTTATTTTGTTAATTAATTAACAACCGTTTTTAAATGCATTTAATTTAAATTTAACTAATAATATTAACAAAAGTTTAACTAATTTAGCTAATTAATTGATTTAACTTAATGCGTCACTACGATTAAACCTACATTTAAGTAACTAATTTTTCACTAAATTAAAGGAAATTAACATATATATAATTCGTTACTTAATTAATAATCTCTCTAATTTATTACACTTAAAATGAACCAACTAATTCATACAAAAAAATACGTGATTGAAATTACATACTTTATCTGCATAAACAGGGAAAATGATATAAGATGGGTAGATTACATCCTTGAAGTCTATCTGGAATTCTATCTGGAATAGATTGTGTGGTTTTGTTGAATGAAGCGGAGGTTGCATATATAAAACATGTAGTCACGGACGTAGTCACGGATGTGTCCGTGACTACGTGATTTTGTACGATTTATCGGTGCACTTTAACTTTGGAGCGTTAAAAAAATTAATTTTGGATCTTGTCACGGAATTAGTCACAGAATAGGTTAGTCAGTCACGGATTAAATCCGTGACTAACCGTAGTCACGGACATATCCGTGACTATTTTTTTTTTAAATAATCCGTGACTAGCCCGTGACTAGAACCGTGACTAACTAGTCACGGACCAAATCCGTGACTAGCGTCCGTGACTACAAGCGAATTTTTTTGTAGTGCAATTTAGGACTTGTTGCAAAGGTGCCGGAGAAGCCATAATAGGACTTAAACATGCTAAAAAACTAATATTAGGACTTACCAAGTTTCTCTCGTTAATAGGACTTATATACGGTCCTATTTTGCGTTCTACTACTTTAGGAAATATCCTAAATACCCCTGTTCGAATTTGTGATATTATTAACGAAGTTACTGACCTTTTTCGGTTATCCCGTTTCAAACGGTTAAGGAGTTTCCTTTCTCAAAATAGTTTCCTTGTTCAGATTGAGTATCGCTATTAGTTTCCTAACTTTGTTGATATCATTCAACCAAACTAATCATTCGTTGTTTTTCCTGCATTCTTCTGCCATGGATTTCTCTTCGAGTACGTTTACGTCATAGCTGCATCAGTGTTTCATTCTTTGCAGAGTACGTTTACTTCGAATTTCATGCTTTCATAATAACTTATTATGGCCGTGATTCTGTTTTCGATCGTCAATTCTTCTTCAATCGTTGTTAAATTGAATTCGCAATTGCTTGTAATTTGGAACGACAATATGCATATACATATATGCATTTGCGTTCTGTTTTTTCCTTCAAGCTCTGTTTTTTTCTTCAATTTCATATTATCAAACCTTTCATCATATGATCGATTTCAAATTCATTATAATCAACAATTTATTTCGTATGTAGTTGTACTCTGTTTTATTTCATTAAATTACATCGGCTAGTTTAGATATCAGTTTGTATCTACAATTTCATTTTTTTTTTGTTAAATTCTCTATGCGTGTACCTAAATTATGCCCTTTGAACTATCATTTAGTTTGTCCTACCTGACATGTATATGCATTTTTTGATTTCTCCTTTTTATGTTCTGTAATTGTATATAATTTGTACACATCCTTATAAACTGTCATATTGTTAACAAAACTGTCATAATTTTGTCTGAACTCTCATTTAGTTTGTCCTACCTGTCATGTATATGCATTTTTTGATTTCTCCTTTTTATGTTCTGTAATTGTATATAATTGGTACACATCCTTATAAACTGTCATATTGTTAACAAAACTGTCATAATTTTGTCCGAACTGTCTTTTTCCTAGATTTTGTCATACTGAAATATTTCTTTTGCTGCATTTTTTTAGGAACCTTTTTACCATAATGGATCCTATTTTACTTGTTATGGTCAAGGTTGACGGTTTTTGGGATTCTAACAACGTGTTCAACAATGTCCACACATGTGGCCTTCATGTTAACTATAATGTTCAATATGCTTCTATTATTAACTCTTTGAGTGACATCCTTTCTCAGTACAAAGCTAATCATAATTTCAGGCTTTCTTATATGAGAGATGGATTTCCTCCTCCTGTTACTATAAATGATCAATCTACCTTAACATTTTATCTTTATATCAAGTCTCTTCAACCAGATTTTTCATTGTATCCACTTTGTGTTGAGTTTTATCATGTTTCATCTTCACCTACATTTTCTATTGATGTTGGACCATCTGCTTCTCCTTGGTCTGAAAATGTTGTCATTTCTTCACAGCAACATACTCCTTATGATGAGAATGTTGTTGTTTCTTCTTCCCATGCTTCACAACAACATACCACTTATGAGAATGTTGTTGTTTCTTCTGCCCAACAACATTCCTCCTCACCTGTACTTTCTTTTGATGATGGCCCACCATTTGGCCAATATGAAAATGTTATGTTATCTGATGTAAGTTGTGGCCAGTCTGAAGATATTGTTTCTTGTAGTAACACTGTGTCTACAACTGTAGAAAATGAATCATCTGAAGACAATGATGACATGTCAGATGACATGTCAGATGGCCTTTTAACTAAATCATCCCACTCATTCTCATTTCTCCAATATTTTGAAATCATCACACAGTCCCATCCTACTTGTCTTCTTCTCCATGTGACGTGCACTATGTCGTGAGGTGCACTCAAAATAATAAATCAATACAACACTAATACGTAGTATAGTGAAGTAAGGTTCGTATCCACAGGGAAAGGAATATCTTTCTTTTAAATAATACAAAAGGGGGTTTTTAGATTTGTTTGATTTAAATATACTAAGATGAACAACCTATATGAGTTTAATTTAATGAGATGAGGACTTGGTTTTGCTTTTATCCACTTAATGAAATGTTCGTCGATCCCAGTTATATCTTTAACTTTCTTCCTCTCGAATACTCAATCGAGGAGTATATCCAGTTCATCGAGGGTAGTTATTAATAACGAGACGCGCTCATTAATAAAACTTACTACCGAGTCAATATAGAACACGCGCCGTATATTAACACGATAGTAGCAATAAACTTGAGATGAAAACGATTGAGTTTGATAACCTCAACACAAGCGGTTTATTGGTTTAATCAATATAATTAATTCCCCTTAGATTATTAATCATGAGACACATGCATTAACAATCCAAGTTTACTACCGTTGAAGGAACCGAATTAATAACAAGCGTATTAATCGATTGATTCTAGTAATAATTAATATATGAAACAAAACTAGTTGATCCTTTAAGTAATGTTCAAAATATTAATATGAAATATGAATAGGAATTAATTAATACTCAAGGAAGAATATTAAAGAGTATGAATCCTACTATAGTTAATATCAAGATGTTAACGAATTGTCATCTTAGTAACACTCCCCAATATTAACATAGAGGAAGAAATAACTATTACTATAACTAATGTCAAGATGTTAACTAATTGTCATCTTAGTAACACTCCCCAACATTGATATAGAAATAGTATTTAAAGGAAGAATTAATATTCAAGAAAGATAATTAAAGAGAATAACTCACAACTTACAAATTCATTAAGCTTCAAAGTAGCAAAACCAAGATGGAAGAGTTTAGCTCCTCATTTGGAGACTAAACATGATGAAAAAATAAAGAAAGAACTATTCTATACTGAGCTTAGAAGTATATAGGAATTGGTGCTTTTGTGGGAAGGAAAGGGATGTATTTATAGGGAAATGGAGTGTGCAGGGGTGTGTACCCGA